TTCCGAAGAGTGCAACCCGCCAGCCGACGGGTACACAACGTGAGAGAAGGTTCATACGCGGCATCGGGGTACCCCCTCCGACAGTCGGCAGTCCGGCACAGTGAGTGGTTTGGGGTCTCATCATACAATTTTGAGAACCCACTCCACCACAGCATCAGGTGTTGAGATGGGCCTTGATTCGCCCCTGGGCGGCCGGCGGCTCCGTACATGTGAGGATCCATCGTGATGTCTTGAAGCGTCATCTGGCTGTCCTTGGACCGTGGGTGTGTGGGTGTCACCAGAGGTGGGTGTTCCGTTGCTGGTGTGGTACCCACTAGGATCGACAGACGCTTGTGCATATGCTCTAACGTTGTTGTGATTCTGTCGAATCCTAGGACTAGCAGGTCGTCCGGGTCGAACCGCCCCGCGACCATGTTCGCTTCACGAAGAAGGGTGACCAGCGCTGTGATCGCGTCCGTGACGGAGTGCAGCCGTGGTAGGGTCGACACCGGCCAAATGAGTTGACCCAGCTGCCGGATCTCCAGGGTCTTCGCGACGGGGTCGCTCTCCAGGAACGCGTTCAGCTTGCGTTGGTGGTAGGACCTCGCGACATCATCGTCTGTACATGATGCCAGTCCTGACTTCTCGGGGCCTATCGACTTGGTGTTTCCGGGTGCCTTCATCCGGAACTTTGTCGGCTTGGATTGCGCGATCTTTGTTTTTTGTTTGTTTGGGGACCTTAGCCTCTCGGTTTTCACCGTCGGCTAATGGCCCTCTGGATCATGATAGGCATCATGACCCAAGGTGTCCTCTACGAGGACACAGGGAGGGTATTTAGGTTTTTCTTCAATAAATTCAACCTCGACCATGTTGACCGGTCCCCTCCCAAGGTCCGGTCGGTCCTTCGATCCTTTGTTTGTTTCTTCTTGAATCACTGGAGATCGGTCTTCCAGTGGCTCTTCGGTCTTGTGCTCCTTCTTGACATGAACATCTTTATCGTCTTGGGACTCGCGGTGAAATCCCGCGTCTTCCGAAGATCCGGGCACGTGCAACATTGTGGTGGAGTGGGTTCTCAAAATTGTATGATGAGACCCCAAACCACTCACTGTGCCGGACTGCCGACTGTCGGAGGGGGTACCCCGATGCCGCGTATGAACCTTCTCTCACCTTGTGTACCCGTCGGCTGGCGGGTTGCACTCTTCGGAGGACTTGGTGATGATGTAGACGTCTGCCTTGAGGAAGGTAGACCTGGGGGGCCTCGAGTGGATATGATACACTTGGTGAGCCGGTAGGTGGCCACTCGATCGACCTTGTCGAGAGTGGACTTAGAGCCAAATTCTTCCGGGCGCTTGTCGTCCCTGGCCTTTTCCTTCTTGTTTCAGGGGTATTAACCGCCTGACCTTTACGTTGCTCCCGGACCTTGAGGTGAGGGAGACCGCTTCCGATAGCGGGTCTTGAGGGGTATTGCTACTCGAACGAGCTCACAGGCCAAATATATCCTGGAGCTCTATTCGCACTTGAACTTCACTACACAACTGTCTTCGACGGGGAGCCAAAGTATATCCCTTCCCGGAACAGTGAGTAACTTAGAACAAGTCCTTCTTGAGTGACGGAGTCGTGCCACGTAGATCGCAAATTGAGTAGTATTTAATATAGTACTATCCTTTCAACTCCTTTACTCTATCCTTGCCTGAAGCTCTGATTCCTTGCGTCGACTGGTCTGATCCTTGTATTAAGTGGTCCGGAGTGGTTGAACCCTGAGGGGCCGAGGTCGACCAATGAGGGACCCCGGTCTTCCAACGAGGGACCGGGTCTACCGATGAGGGACCGGGTCGACCAATGAGGGACCCAGGTCGACCAATGAGGGACCCAGGTCGACCAATGATGGACCGGGTCTACCTATGAGGTATCGGGTCTACCGATGAGGGACTGGGTCTTCCAACGAGGGACCGGGTCTACCTATGAGGTATCGGGTCTACCGATGAGGGACTGGGTCTTCCAACGAGGGACCGGGTCTACCGATGAGGGACCGGGTCGACCAATGAGGGACCCAGGTCGACCAATGAGGGACCCAGGTCTACCAATGAGGGACCCAGGTCGACCTATGATCTACCAACGAGGGGCCAGGTCGATTAATGAAGGGCCATGACCAACTCCCTTTGGTACCGTTTAACCGGTACCCTGATACTAATTTTTCTTCGCTGGGTCCTGCGGATTGTGCTCCACCAATGGTCGCTCGAGGCCCCTGTCTCTCTGGTCCCCTGTCCCTGACCCACGGTCTATACTCCGAATCTAACTGGATTCTGGGACCTCCACATCACCAAATTAGCACTTCACCACACGTTTGGTAATTTTGCGATGAAAAAGCGAAATAAACTGCATGCACAGAAGGTACATCATTTGGCACATGTGAAAAGAGTCGTAGCCAAAATGGACGAGAAGGCCTACAATACTGCGTATACTACACTGCCGCGAATAATCTCGCCCACATAATTAACGCGAATAGACACCGGAGGTCAAAAGGCAGTTGAAGCCATGATGCAGACAATGAAGTAGGCATTGTTGATATGGAAGGCATTGAAAGTGATTGTGATGATGAAGAAGACGACAACAATACCGAGCAAGATACAATCCTTGACGATTAGACTACCGCGTTTGATAAGCTTGATCGAATTAATGAGCAAGAATACAATGAATCCGTTCATTTCATTGATCAGGCTAGAGCATTACATATGACGAATGAAGTATTGCGAATGAAGCACTATGATGGGGCCGAGTATCGCCAAAGTCATCCTTATCCAGACCACAATATCCCTAATTTTCCGCAAGAGAGACTCACAGGTGTCAGAAGCGTTTAAGTTTGATTTGGAATCTCTGTTTCCTACATTCATTGAGGCGTTAGATGAATTTAATATCCTTGAGGAATAAACACTTGGTGAACCCATGAACCATGTGTTTAGCCAATTAACCATTGTTAAACCACTCCAAAATCTATTAACCTGGTTAATGCCACCACTGGTTTTAATGGTCGTGATTTAGTTTTGTCTTGTGTCATTATTTTGATAAATACAGTAGGAAGTGAAAGTTACCTATTATTATACTTGTACCCAAAACAACATGCCATAATAACATTTTGTTTTACCTACTAGGGTGTGTACCCGTCGTTCCGACGGACATGGTTTTATGCTATTAAGACATATATAGGGGTGTTTTCGTCGTTTCTACCGATAGGTGCACAAATTTGACGCTGATCGTATATTGACTTAGGTAATTAAATAGAATCAAAGGTAATGTGTATAAAAGTCAATGTATACCTGTCGTTTCGAAAGTTAGGGTGTTCACCCGTCGTTTAGACGAACATGGTTTGCCTTTTGACCTGTAAACCCATCAACATACGTTAGATGATTGAATTGACTCAGGGTATAGATGGATATATAGGTCAATGTGTACTCGTTGTACTCGTCAATGTTTCATTTGATCACCCGTCGTTCCAACGGTACGAAGTTGCATATATAGGCATCTTAAACGAAGCAATTTGCTGGGGTATTTACCTGTCATTTCCGCGAATTTAGTACGCAAAGTCTTCGAAAATACTAAATTCGTGTCTTTATTGATTTTATATCACGTTGTTTTGATGGAACGCTGCGCGAAGTCGCCGCTGCTAGGGTGTGTGCCTGTCGCTCTGACGGAAATGACGGCCTATGCTAATAGCATATTGTACCATTCAGGGTGTTCACCCGCCGTTCCGACGGACATGAAGCAAAACAAATTGCTGAAATTATACTTGCTCATCACTTTCCAAAATATATATGTTGACTTATATAAATTGATAATTATGATAATCAATGAAGATCGATATGTTGACCTATCCTTTTGCTTTTAAATATCCGGTGAGTTAGGTGATTGCCAAATTATGAAGCCAATGTGTATGCAATTCAAATTGTACCTGTCGACGCCGGTCATTGTATACTTGTCGTTTTAAAGGTCAATGTGTACCCGTCGTTACGACGGACGCAGTAAGCGAAGTCTGTCTTTTGATTTTCGTACCCATCATTTTACTTCTATATACCCAGTTTAATGGCAATTAATGGGTATAAAGGTGAATGTAAACCTGTCGTTCCGTAATGTAGAATATCCGGTTGACTCAGGTAAATGAATAAGTATGATTCGCTTATTGTACCTGCATCCACTTTAACCTGCTAACTGCGCTTACTTTTTCCACTTTGTAGTGTATTAGTTGAGGACGGAGCCCATGTTTTGAAGAAAGAATCGAAAGCATGGGTATCATTTACTATTTCAAAAAAGCTGCGTGTATTATTGCAGTATGTTATGATGCATATGAACATTTATGTGTGCCATCGTTTCGTATATTGATTTTATAGATAGGAGCACGACATAAGGACACCCGGGGATGAACTAAATTCTATTACGGAAATCTGCTCACGTAACAATATATACAACATGCAGATACAATACATATGGGTCACATCACTTATTATAACTAACTCCAATACAACCTGATGAGAACGCTTGCTTTTGCCAACTTTCTAGTGTATTATTCAAGCACTGAGCCCAGGAATTAAAATGATGATAAAGCATGTGTCTCATCTAATATTTATAGATAATCTGTATTTCTATAAAATATGAACACGTATGTGTGCAATCGTTTCGTATATTAGTGTTATAGATAGAAGCCGACATATGGACACTTTTATATGGAATCGCACATGTAATTATCAACACAAAAAGACAAACTCTGCCAATGCGTTATGAGCCAAGAATATATAATTAGCCAATCCAAAATTAGCAATTAATGCAAAGATAGCCAATCCGAATGCCGGAAAAGGATTAAACGGACGGACGGACAGTATTCTTTTATTATATAGATTTACTTGAAAACACCCTCTGTTGTCCTGTTGTCACAGCGCCTCATACCGGTATGGCTACGGTACTACCGTGCCTCGTGGCCACTGCATTCCATCGGAGGGTCCACAAGGCGTCGAATCTTGACGAGACCGACCATGCGTCTCGATGTTGTGATTAAGGCTGCTCGCATAGCCACGCAGTTTTCGTCTCAGTTGAAGGGCAAGCAGTTCCATGTTGCCCACACGTCAGCTATGCTTCGTTCTGCTCTAGCGGTTGAGGCCAACCAGACCGGTCAACGCAAAGGTCGTTTTGGCAGTTTGCTGCCCTTAGCCGCCGCCGTAGCTCTTATTGGTGCTACTGGAGTGATTAATATGGATGACAATCATTTGGTTGCTAAATGTGAAGGGGGTGCTGCTAAACCTGTGAGTCGTGAGGCTGTCACGCAAGCCATGCTTAAGGAGGTTGTAGCTAAGCTCAATCGTATAGAGAGCGCTGTCGCTAACCCCCACCGTCATACGGACGGTTTGAACGTCGGTGTGGATGTTGTACTGGGTGCTCAGTGGGGTGACGAAGGCAAGGGAAAGCTTGTGGACAGTCTTTCTCAGTCGTACGACGTGATCGTGCGGGTAGCCGGCGGCTCAAATGCAGGCCACACTATTGTGCACGAGGGCAAGAAATACAAGTTTCACCTTGTACCCTCTGGTATTCTCAACCCTGATGCTGTGTGCATCATTGGTAATGGTGTCGTTGTGCACCTTCCTAGCTTCCTTGAAGAGCTTGAGGGATTGAAAAGGATGGGTGTTGATTACGAGGGACGTATCCTCATTTCGGACCGTGCGCACATGGTGCTCGACTTGCATCAGGAAGTTGATGCTATCAATGAGCTGCGTCGTGGCCGTAACAAGATTGGTACGACCAAAAAGGGCATTGGTCCGGCTTACTCATCCAAGATGTTGCGCAACGGTGTCCGTGTGGGCGACTTGCGCTACTTTGACGACTTCTCGGAGAAGATGCGCGACCAGGTCAAGTTCTACAAGGACAACTATCCGGAGCTGAAAGCCGATGCTGATGCTGAGATCAAGGTCTACGATGAGATGAAAGACAAGATTTTGAGCATGACCGAGGACACTGTCGCATATCTGAACGACGCATACGTGTCGGGCAAGAAAATTTTGGTAGAGGGCGCCAACGCTACAATGCTGGACATTGACTTTGGCACGTACCCGTACGTGACGTCGAGCAACCCAAGCATTGGTAGTGTGTGCACTGGCGGTGGTATCTCTCCTAATCGGCTGAATGGCATCATTGGAATTGTGAAGGCATATTGCACGCGTGTGGGTGAGGGACCTTTTCCGACTGAGCTGCACGATGACGTCGGCAATCACCTGGGTACGGTGGGTGCCGAATTTGGTACGACTACTGGCCGCGCCCGTCGATGTGGCTGGCTGGACATTCCTCAGATGCGTTATTCGAACATGGTTAATGGATTTACGGAGTTGAACCTGACCAAGTTGGACGTGCTTACCGGTCTGAAGAAGGTCAAAATCGGTGTTGCATACTGGCACAAGGGCAAGAAGTTGGACGGTATGCCATCGAATCTACAGCTGCTTGAGGACTCTGTTGTGGAGTACGAGGTGCTGGACGGTTGGTCGGAGGACATCTCAAAGTGCAAGACATTTGATGAGCTGCCGGACGCAGCTCAAAAGTACGTGCTACGCGTGGAAGAGCTTTTGGGTACGCACATAAAGTGGATTGGTGTTGGCCCAGACCGCTTTGACTTGATTACACGCCCGCATCCGTTGGAAAAGGCTTATATTTCTAGCAATTAGAGGATAATGCCTTTTAGGGCATTTTGAGGCCTCATAGGAACTTTTGCTAGCATAAAGGAATACAATCGCGATAGCAAATGCCTAGACTTTTATCTCTCAGTTTTTCCTAAGTACCGGTATACCGATGTAAAGGCATTGATCTGAAAAACAAAAACGATTTCGAAAATGACCGAGCGTCAATTCAAGATTAAAGTGGGCACTCTGCGTCGGTACGAGCGACACTTGACGTGTTTCTTATCCGAATTTACATAATAAATTGTATTTGTGTTTACAGAATAAAAAAAGATCTTGAGTATTACGTCAAGGAACACGCTGTTCAGCAAGTTAAAATTGACAAGATGCGCATCGACGGAAAAGACGAAAACGATATTCGGAAGCAAGAAGAGGTGCTAGTAGAGACAGAGACAATGCTGCCAGATTGTCATAGTCGTTTAAAGGAAGCAGCTACTGATGTGAAAAACTTTATAAAGGCTCATCAAGACGAGGTAAAGCTGCTGGAGACTTATAAAGAAGCCGAGGAGCTACTGGTGGCTATCCTTACGTTGCCGCCTCAGTAAATACGGAACAACTATCAAGAGATAGTTGAGCAAGGACCATCGGTATTCATTTGGTGCAAGAAAAACAGCTAAACATTTTGTCTCAATCTACTGCCGGTCAAAAACAAGACATACTTCCAATGTTATCTCTCATGCCATTCGAAGCTCAATCCAATAAGAATGCTGCCGGACAAAGCTATCAATCTTCACTGGCGCTAGTGTGCTTGCTGCTGGTAAAATTCCTCTAGCTTTGCGAGAATACCCATTGTATTTTGTTTCAAAATCTTCCTGATGGCCATCACAATTTCTTTGCCGGTGAACTCTGTGTCTTCATCGAAAGCATCTTGAAAGTGGAAGTAAATATCGTTCATAAACTCCTTAAACAGCTCACTCAGTGCTGCGTACTCCTCATTATCTCTTGCCGATTGTAGCTGGGCCATTTCTTGCTCCTTTGACGTTAACAGCTTTTCTAAATGCTGCGTTTCGCAATAATACCCTTCCACTTGCTGTTGCAATCCTTTAGTTTCACTTTCAAGCTGATGAACTCGAGCCGTTAGCTCCTGAACACGCGAGTTTTGGGCAGCTTGTGACTTCATAGAGTCATCTTGAAGTTGAACCTGCTGGCTCTGAGCTTGACTCATCCGGTTGTTCATCATATCACGTTCAACATCCCACTGCTTTTTTTCAGCAATTAACTCGGCAACTTGCATTTCCAGAGCGGCCTTTTCAGTCGTCATTCTCTCGATCAAATCCTTCGAGCCTTGTCGAACGTCATCTTCAACCTGTCGCTGAAGAAGTCCAAGCTGTTTCTGTGTGTCTTCATGCAGCTTCACCTTCTCTTTCACAAGCTGCTCGTCCTCTGCAGCAAGTTGTGCCCGAAGTCGGAAATTTTCTTCTTGGTACACCAGCATGTGCTCCTGAGTGTGACTAAGCTGTTGCTGAACACTCTGCAGTTCCAAACGAAATTTTTCCTGTTGCATATGATTGCCGTTTTGTAGTTTGTCCAATAGCGTTCGGTTCTCCATCTGAAGTGAATCTTGGCGGTTTTGCAAATCCTCAACACTTGATTCTAGCTCGCTGTTTGCGTCCTCAAGTCGATTTTTTGTTTCCTGGAGCTGATCGCGCTGTGCAAGAGCTTTTTCAAAACTTTTAAGCAACATCGAAGAAGACGAAGACGCTGCGAGAAATGATGCCGATGAGAGTGACGCGCTCCCACCGTAGTTGCTTGAGCTCCCAGCAAACTTGGTCGATCTTGTCGAGTTTTGAAGGTTCAACAAACGATCCATCTTCAATTGTAAATCTTGCAGCGTTGACTCGACTGACGAAGATGATCGTTGCAAACGGATAATGCCGTTCTCAACATCTGACAATGATCCTGACCCTGGTATTCCTGGTGTCGATGCGTACGACGAAAACGACCGGTTCGTATATGCCGTGATTGAAGACGAGAACGAAGCCTGAGATGGGGGCGGATGTGAGGAAGGAACAAGTGAGGACGGCACAAAATCCATTTTGGACGGAGGCCACTGTCCAGTTGCAGCCGCAAACGAAGATGTCGTTCCAACAGAAGTTGCGGAGGGGCCCATTGGCGCATATGATGGGGGCACGAAGGCAATGGCGTGCTGCTTTTCTTGCGCCGGCTTGTACTCAGACAATTGTACAGAGTGGCCGCCTACTCCATTCATCGACTGTAGGGGTCTGACCGCCACTTCACTTGACTTAATGTTGTCGGATTGAAGCTTGCGCTTACTCTCTTCCAGCTGATCACGAAGTCGTGCCAAATCCGACTGCTCCTTCATCAAACGTTCCATATCGCTGGATAATAGCGCTGTCTTGGTCTCGCCATCCATGTCCACACAAGTTGCTTCGGATAAGTGTTCTTGCGGCTCAATCACTTGTGCAGCCTGCGAATTTGTACGCGATGGCGAAACCGCCTCCACATGCAGATTTGAGTGCATCTCGTGCTGTAAATTGCGAAATGATCCTGGCCTTTCTCCTGGAAGCTGAAGTCCCGCCAAAAGCACAGGAACGTATCCTGCTGGAGGGTCCGCCGACACCTGCCCGCTGGAGGAAGCTCGTTGAAGCGATGTATCAATCTCACCGTTCATTTCATTTGACGAGCGGCTGTCCCGATTCTTTATCACATTTGCAATCATCCCTGATGACTGACTGCCTATACGAGATAAACTTGCCATGCGTTTCACGAGATCGTCATGTTCTTCCTGTGTCTGCTTTTCGTCACTGCCAGTTGTCGGTCCAGTAAGCGTCACATTATCACTTGATCTCGTATTTTTCTTGACTTTGACCAATTCAATCTCTGCAATGACCCACTGTTGCGTGTCTGGGAACGTCACAGTCACGAGTCTTTTGCCCATTTTTTGCATTCCCACCAATACTTTCGTTGCCAAGACACGAACAAATGGATCTGTTTCACTTGCTGCTGCTTCTGAATCCATGAGCTTAATCCTCTTAATTTCATTGCTATGTGTTGCATCAGTCGTGGATCGGTTCTTAATCTCGAGTGGATTTGTCGTAAAAAAATGACTTCTCTCTTCCATTGTTCCATGCCATTTCTTGAATGATATTCCTGCTACATCTCCAAATAAAAGTGGATCTGCATCTTCCCTTCCTATTGCCAAATCATCGACTAAAACCACGGGGTTATGGTGATTATATGACTTGGTAGAATGTACTGCAACTTGTGCCTTAATCAACGCCACTGCATAGAGAAAAGCCTCACTTGTAGTCGTATCTTTAAAACGCAGAGCATAATTTCTTTGACGATCATAGAAATTGATATAATTGTCTTTTTGGAGTACGAAACGTGTACTTGGAAGTACGGGAAATTGCAACAGTGGCGTCTTTTGTGGGTCATAAAGTATCAACGAATAGACCTTTGAATCACAAGATTTCTCATCGAGAAGAAGAAGCGCACAACCTACTGCTGCATTAGTCTGTTGCGCATAAGAATTACTGTTATTGTCGTAGAGATAGAGATAGACAGCACACGAATATAACAACGTGCCCCCGTCCGCCATGGTGCGTATTGACGTGTTGTTACTTTAAGGTATGCGGTTTAACAGGATTTACACCGTAATCAATTATATGCTACGAACTATAAGATGATCGAGGATATAAGTTATATAAAGTAATGTGGTCCACCCTCGTGGAACGACAGAATAGCCAGTGTCAAATCATGACCACAGCATGCTCGAAACTGCCGGTTCGTGTTGGTCACTTCAGCTCTGCGGCAGAGCCTCTGCTGACCAGGGAGTAAGAAACAGATATCAATACATTACATGTGATCTCTGACAAGTTTTCTTGCCACATGTCTTATTACTTACCACCTCTGCCGCCAATGGTGGCCAGCAGTTGATGGAGAAACAGCATTATACGGCAATGCAGTGGTTATTCACCTATAACAGAGTTGCTCTACATACACTGAACGTAGGATGGCGTAAGTCTTTAACAACTCTAACAGCAAATAATGTACGCATTAGCAAATGTTTACGGAGAGAGTTACATACGAACTCGTTGCCTTTCGAATCCAGTTGCCTGTATTGTAATGCTCTTTTACTGGCCAATGTCTTGACTCTCTGACGTAGAAAGATAAATTAAAGCTCGAGTGCAACACAATAACGTGTACTTAGGCAATATGTTAGGAGAACTCTGCTAGCACGGTGCTAGTCAGGTGTGACAAGAAGCACCCAGCACAATATTATATTGATGAAATTTAAAGTGGGTGAGTGTAAATATTTGATCAATTTTTGTCAATTATTCAGGTTGTTGTAGATTGAAAGGCAGCATTGACAGCCGCTTGGCAAACCTTTGATCCTGAGCTTTGACAAGATTTCACAAGAGTGTAAAGACGAGGTGTAATGCTCTTGATTGTGGCTCGGTAGTACAATATCGAGTATACTGTAATCCCGATACTAATACTAACGTGGTCGCTAATTGCAAACGACAGTTCGCTTCATAAAGCGTACATAGTTTAAAAACAGACGGGACGATACTATACAAACCTGAAGTGTAAATGAGAGAAAAAAGAGAATGAGGCGTAAGTAGCAGCCCTGGCTGCCAGCAGTTCACGAAGTGCCAAAGTCCAACAACGCATAGGACGGAATTGATATTGGCGATCGATTATACGCGACTGCAACGCGGCAACATAGTGGAGCACTTTCTCGCTCGTACACAATAAGGGCGAAAGAAGGCATTGAATCGGTAGATATACTCGACTGATTGTTCTGAACACGTCGCATGCGTCATGGATTCTTTGAGTTGGGGGGTTAAGCGACATGAGACTAATTACACTTTGTTTGTCTTTCTGTGACGAAATCCAGAGTCGAAAAACCAGCCGTAGCGGTGTGGGGACTCGTAGTTATCAGCATTGGAAGAAGCGACCATGTTCAAGGCACTTTACCGCTGTATCTGCAGGTTTTTTGGCCGAATTAAACCCAAACAAAGAGATACTTTGCAGCGCAGGACTGACCATGGAGCTAATATAGACATTGAAGAGGCATTAGCAGAGGAACTAGAGATTCAGAGACGTAGTGGACGTGTGCTTTCTTCAACTGCAAGCATCGCTGCTGCACTACGACATCGTCCTCGTGACGCCATTCCAGTCTTCTCGACCCAGTGGGGAAACGATGAGCACCGTGACTCCTCGGACTTAGCGACCAAGAGTGCTGTGGAGGAGACGCAAAGTCTTATCCCAAATTGTATTGGTCAAACACATGAAAAGCACGAGGTTTTGAAGAGCGCCAAGTCCCCCATGTTCAGCCAGACGGCAATGTCTAGCAGGATTTCGTCTAGCCCCGGCTCTTCGTTTAAGATTCCCGAATCGGTACCTGAAGATATTGAGCCAGAGAATGAGATGGAGACGAACAGGACAATTGTTGCAGCAACAGAGAGATTATCTGAGATGAATCCTCGTCGCTCGTCAATCTTCGACATGCGGTCAGAGTGGATTTAAGTCTGAAAGCCGATGCAAAATGTGAGAGATTACGGCGCTCGCACATCATAGAAGAAGAAATGTGACGGCGGATCTACGAAACAAATCCATGTCCGGTCGTTTGTTGTATATAAAGGGATTTCAGATTGACTGCAAGCGAAAGCAGGACATTGTAGACGTCACTTCTTGGCCGAGAGCGAGCAACCCAGGGAAGGAGGTAAGGAACTTATTATTGCCTCTATTGCTAGATTGGCTCATTGGAAGGCTAATATGAGGGTATTATAGTATTGCACGATGTAGTTGTTTGGCTTTGTGCGTTTTGGCTTGATAATAAGCCACTGGGGGGAGTCAAATAGACACGCTGTTTAGATGCTTAGCATAGTTTGCAAGACTCCATACATTAGCCAGAACACGATTGCCCTACCTTAGCAATGTCACGATTTTGTCGTTATTGGAGGAAAATGTAACTGTAAACGGCACAGAGTGTTAAATGAATTAACTTAACTCAATGATTTCAAGTCGTAAAGTTTGATATAGGGACGCCTCGTGTCGGAAGTTCAGAGCTTCATCTAAATGCCGTAATAAAGCACGACATTCATCATATGAGCTTGCACGTGTCGGACCAAGATAAAAGGGATTCATCTTGCTGGATGCTTTGTCGGTCGTGCTTCGCGCCTGTCGCCTGTTGTTATGTCGCAACAATCACAAATTTGCGACCGTCGCGTTGTCAGCGTTAGTTGGGCACAAAATAACCAGTTTATCGATATAAAGATATGGTAGCGAAAAGTCGCGACCATTTCTTTGATTCGATAAAAAACCGGTTATGATACCGGTTTGCGATGGCTTCAACTACTTTTGGCGGGAACCGGGCTTTTGGATTTTGGCGCTTATTTTTTTCAAGTCACGACCGCACGAGTCAATAGCGCATTATTCACCATGCTCGACCACTTGCTGCCACTCATTTACCCTGAGTTTGAGTACTTTGATGAAGCGAATAAGGAAAATCTTGGCTATTGTATCCGTCGACGTACTCGACCCGTATCTTCTCAAGTATCTACGCCGTCTCGGACACCTCCACGTCCTCCCAGACGCACTAACAGCATCAACATCGACGGTGGTGTGGTTTCCAACCGCAGACTTAAGCGTCGACGAGAAATTTCGGATGACGGCAGCGAAGAGCACAGAGATGCTAAGAAACAGCACATAAGGGGAGATATTGAACCAATAGCCAAAAAGAAACAGGTGAAGCAAGAGAAATTTGCAGTCAAACAAAAAGTGAATGGAGAGCAAAGACACATGGAGCCAGTGTCACCTTTAAAAAAGATGCAGGAACCCAAAATGTTGGCAAAGAAGGCAGCCGTGAAGACCAAAAAGAGTAAAAAGAACAAACAGACAAAGGTGACGGAACATTCCACGCAGAAAAAGACAATTCAAGTGTCCAAGAGTGCAAAACCAAAGCGAATGCCGTTGCAGGATATCACTCATCTCTATGTGAACGATCATACACGTTCGTATTCGTATCAGCAGCGTGAACGCTTTGTAGCAGGACTGTCTACTTCTGTCGCTATTCGTTTCTTATAGGTATTAACAGTGAGGTTTTACCATACGTGACATGTGGATCTAATTCTTTTCTTTCTTGTCGCTATGCTGCAGAAACTGTAGCTCTTCGTTTCAAGTCTCATAATTCGCGTGATTATTTTGTCTGTGCCATGTTTCCAAGCAGGGCCTTAGAACAGCTTATTTAGCGTTGTTGTCAGCGCATTTTCATTTTCACAATTGAAATCAAGAGGTACGTGGTGATATATATGATTCCATCAAGACGTTCAAGTGTCAAGATCATCAGTCCTCATGTGTCTTATTACATATCGAACTTCAAGACTTTCGACTCTCATGCTCTTATGGTGATTATGATGCACTGTGTCGCAAGCTACCCATTCTTCGGATGATACTTGTCTTCACGCCAAAAGCGCATCTCATTTCATGCGCGTCGCGGCACGACAAATGTTGAAGAAATTTGCCTCACAATGCTGATTGCACATGATTATGTGCTTCAGAAGCTATGGACGACATATCGAGAAATGCAAGGTATTCAAGTTTCTGGAGTTCTTAATGAACACTGTCCACTGCACCTCATTTCGTGCGCGACAGATACCAGATTCGTTGATTTCAGCTTTGCAGACGTCATTATTGCCGTCCTCTCAACAGATTTGCACAAGCAGCACCCCATTGCGTGTTCGCCTTGATGTAGAAGTTGGTAGTGCATGGTCAAGTTTTCATGGCCGAACCGTGCTGTGTGCCGTGTTCTGAACTGCATCTCATTACGTGCACGTTCATATAAGAACATCAAGGACAAGGAAGTTAGTCGCTGCGATGCCTAATTGCTACTTGCATTGTTGCTGGAGACTATGTGAAGCATCGGGTAGCTCAAACAAGGCTGCACCTCATTTCGTGCATGCTTAGGTGGTACCTTCAACTACGAGTCAAGCTATTTAGTCAAGCGTCTTGCGGACACTGTTCCAGCACCACCTCATTACGTGCGTGCTCAGGCGCAAGGTCGACAGACGATTACGATTAAACTTCGTATATGCGCGCTTAGGACGAGCTCAAATGTCATGAATGTTCTCGATGAACGTACCCAAATATCGCGGTTGCTTCATACTCCAAGGCTAAAGAATTTTCCTGTAAATTAATAAGATTGTTGCCTTCATCCCAGAATTTGAACAAACGGCAATGTATTGAACTTGTTGACCCTTTCTTTCGTTTAAGCAAAGAAAGCACAACGCAGCAATATCCAGCTTGATACTTCTTCTAGTCCAGCATTTAGATACACTCGCCAGATGCCCTTGCTTTCTGCACAGCTATCCATCCATCAGCTAGCACCCTTAACGGGTTTGCCCATTTCCCCAACAATACAGTTAGACCACCCGATCCCTTGGCCTCCTGTTCATTAAGAGCCTTGGTGATGCGCTGAGCCAGTAACTGAGACGGATGCTCGATCAAGTGGTACGAAGCCGTCGCCAGCATACAGATTAACCCATATCGGGAAAACAACCGACAGTAGTAGTTTGGCTGAGACGTGACACGCCCATTATAAATAACCAAACCTTGTAGCAAATAAGCAGAAAAACTGATCTTGCCCCAGTAACGCAAGAAACTCCACTCAAGCATCAATGACAGCGGCGACGGAAGGAGCATCTCACACACGAGCACTATAGTCATAAGCACACTAACAAAAGGAGCTCCCTCGGTTTGCTTCACCGGGTTTTCGTGCACCCAAATGAAGAACAGACCAACGAAGGCAAGACTGAGGAACACAGCCAATGCCAAGTATTCAATCGTACGAAGAATGAGTTTGTGAATGAAACGGTAATAGAAGTTGTTGGCCTTGATCCACGTGTCCAATTTGAAATAAAGCACTGCAGCCATCGACCCCGCCACGAACGTCGGAAGGTGAATACGCATCTCTTGGTGGTCCGTGCGCATCTCGTTGCATCCTTCAATAACAACCCAAAAGTACGCAGGAATAAAGGGCACCCACCAAAACTTTCGTAGTAAAAGTGTCCCTAGCACAAAAACTGGAATGATGAAGTAGTACGCGATCTCAAGAGGAAGTGTCCAGAAGACGAAGTAGCGGGATTGAACATCGAACGTGAGCGTTTTAAAAAGACTGTAAGTCTCTGGCTTCGTTATAAGGAAGTAGCGTAGCTTCACCTCATCATCCATGAACCACAGCGTAACGCATATAGTTGCAAACAATGGATACACTCGAAAGAAACGTCTAGAAAAATAATCGGCCAGGGCAAAGACCCACGTCCGAATTCCTGCGCCTTGATTGAGCATTCGAAAGCTCTTTTTCATAAAGATCCACGTGAGTAGAAACGACGACAAGACGAAGAATACGTCCACCGCAATCTTACCAAAATCTATGTCGTCCATGTACTCGCCTGTATGCTTTGAAATAACTAACATGGCGGCTAGACCGCGTATGCCGTCAAGGAACAACACTTTAGTTGCAGGGGCAGACGCGATCGCCAACTTCTTGGCCATCTCAGTTTTCTTTTGCTTGTCCTCATCGTCCTCTTTATCCTGCATCAGTAGTGGTTCATCCTCAGGCGTTAATTGCACATTCATAGAACAGTCGTTAAAATCTGTTAAGACCAAGGCATCATGTTTCTTAGCAAATTCGCGAGTAGAAAGCATCTTCACTAGCAATTATTGTCAATTCCAAAATGCTGAGCGAAAAGTAATAATAATTGTGCTTGGTGTTGCGTCCTGTCAACACTTTTTACACACACTCAGACTCCGTGGGTAATTAATTACCCAGACTCATGGGTTGAGTATGGGTAATTGGCGCTACCCAGCCCACTTACCCATGGGTACCCAAGGGGTACATGTACCAAAATTTTTGAGCATACTCAGACACATCTGACTCCACCGCCCTTCAACTCTCTTTCTTCCTTACACAATCAAACATAAGTAATCAAAAAGTGAATCCATCACCCATCACTTTCCATCTGAGACACAGTATTTGATGGAAGACAGTCAAAACTTGCCCTTAGCTCGATTACTCCTGTCACACAGGACGTAAACATTACTGTGACGGGCACTTAAGCTAGTATATAAAAATCTGGTCTTACAATTGCTTCACATTGAAAAAAAACAGCCAGGAAATCGACAGAGCAAAAAGCAAAGTGGTTAAGTGCAACAAATGTCCAAAAAGTTTGAAGTGTATTAAAAGCACCTGTAACAGGGTTACATGATGGTTGAATAAGTATATCCAGAATCATGTCATGTTTGTAATTCTATGATTATTGCATATAATGCATTTTGAAACTTCTCTTTAGCGAGGCATTAAGTATGAGCGTTTAGATACGGTATTCGATATCACCGTATCATGATAGATAGGATACGATGATCAATATCGCTGTGCTAAGTACATCATACACCGATGTTTAGACGATACGTCGTCCAATAGCAAAGTCTGCATATTATTGTTACTATTATAGTAAGTAATCTAGTGTAGTGTACTTAGAGTAGGATTATTCATAAAATCTTAATGCATAAATTTATATCAGTTTTCATTTTGAGTTGTAAGAAGCAAAGTATATTTAAGGCTTGTTTCAAGTGCACCTTGTGCGTTTAATTCTTGAGCCGTTAGCTTGTTAAGCTTGTGAGCGTAAGCTCGGAGACTTAAAAAGTCTCTCCCAGTTTCATAAAATAAATAGACTTCATAGTCGTTTATTTAGTTCCATACAACTAAGTGGCTTTTAGCCGTAGCTTTAACTAGTTCTTTAGAACTAGAATGTTCTTAGCCTTTTGAAGTCTTCCTGTAATTAAAGAGCTGTGTAGCTCTGCTACACTCGGTAGCACTTGTAATCCTGTAACAAGGCATCTAGTTACAAACAACATCAATTAATATACTTAATGTTTGGTCTAAAAGTATCCGTGATTACTTTTGACCGGTCACTTGGGTGTGATACACAAACGTGATCCACCCTCGTAAATGTGATGTCCATTTATGGATTCACATGGGAAGGGTTGACGCTAGTTGAAGATAGGCATCGCGACGTCTTAGAAAAACGTCATTCGCAAACTTAAGTCTAGTTTTAAGCTCATGCGTCAGGATACGCTTTTAAAGAGTCGCGTATCCGATCTATATACATATATACCCAATCAGTAGTTAAGTTTATATTTAATTATATAATTCATTAAATATAGCTCAGGCTTGAATTTGCTAACACATAAGCACCGCGCACGAGAAGCTGAAGAAGCTTCTGCGTGACGCCGGTGACTTCTTGTTTAGAAGTTCGTTGCACTCTCGCTTAAGCGTGAGGAAACTGGTGTCACGAGTCGACCAACCTCCCAACCACTCTCGCACGCGAAGGTAAGACGGTATAACCGCTTCCTCGCTTGTGCTGAAGGTGTGTGCTAGTAGCACGAGGCAACTTCGTAGAAGTGCCCGTCTACAAGTCTCCCATACCTAAACCGAATAAACAAATGATCCTCTGTGAGAATGGAGAGTAGTATTAACTCTCCCAAGGCGCAAAGTCATGCGCTGACTAAATTATCAGCATTAATTGGGGCAAAATTGATCATATAATCGCCGAAGGCCCGAAAGTGCTTAATGCATGTCTTAAGGCCCTTTATGCGTTACGAGGCAGCGTTAATCAGTCAAGCTCATGACCATGTAGCGTCGGCTTTGCCAACGCACTACCCTTCTGTAGCCGATGAAAAGCCGAAGGATCGACCGCTTGTATTAAGCGTAGATAACCATCGAAGGTAATAAGGGGGGAACCTCCTCCTCTAGATCCTGGAAGTCGAAATGGCTATAAGCGCCGCTAGGCTTAGATCAGAGCAGCAGTGGGTGGGATTAGACATTTTAGAGCTCAGTGACACAGCCCGAAATTGAACATTTATGAACCAGGATAAGGACCCGTTACCGTCTTACACTCAAAGAGCCTTGCTCTTAATTAACTCGTAAATATGAATCTGTTTTATTTTTGTCTTGTTTTAATTTGCAGCAAGTGCGATATGATCCCTAGCTCATGGAAACCACTCAATATGGAAGTCGATTTATTATTGGCTAATTTTTGGGTCTGGCACCCCAATAATAAACCAATAATAAAATGACGCGCAGTATCCGCTAATCGGATACTGCCATATGCCTACTTATGTAATTATGTATTATCCCTATAACAACTTATGTAATAGGTTGCCCCATTACAGAATATCCCAACCAGAGAATCCTGTAATGTTTCTTGACATGGTTCTTCGTGGGCGACGAGTCATTACACGGCGCCTGGGGCTTGTGATTTTCGTGGTCGACAATACGGTCGACAATCCAGCGTCACGAACCCGATGCATCAATTAAGGGAGGAGGAGCATCACGACGGAAGACCTCTGGCGATGAGCGCCGATTTTCGCAATCGAGCGCCTGTGCAGTCGAATGACGAGCTGCGTCTACTTCGCGCTGAATCCGAGAAGTCGAAGAATGCCCTACTTGATGCTCGCTAGATGGATAAGTAAGGTCAAGATCGTGCGGATGCTGTGACTGAGGATTCTGAGTCGACTCGACGTGAGCAGCTGGTTTTAGTTGAGTGCCTACGTCATCTTGAGACGAATGCGTTTGGAGTACCTCAGCAGAACGAGTCTGCACGCGTTCGGCATGACTTGCTCCCAGTCGTCGTCAGCGTCGTCGTCAAGGGATGTAGGATTTTGAGCCGGCACAGAAGAGCGGGGAAGATTCGAAGTTAGGTCCGCCGGTAGGTAAGCCTTGAGGCGCCCGACGTAGAACGTCGGGTGCAAAGGCAAAGATGTAGGTATATTTAGCGTGTAAGCGTCACCATGCACCTTAACAACCCGAAATGGGCCAATATATCTTGGCGCTAACTTATTAGCGCTCAAATTCGTCACTGAGGTGTTCGGTAATCCCCTTATTAATAACAATACTCTGTCACCTTCTCGAAATGTTAACATATTCTTTCGACCTCTTTTGTCTGCGTTCTCTTTTTGCTTGTCGACTGCCTCTTGTAATGCATCACGCACAAAACGCGTGATTCCTTGTCGTAATAGCAGAAATTCGGTTACTGCAGCCGAACTTACAGGCTACTCGTCCGCTTTAGATAAAAAAATTGCAATGGGAGACGCGATGGAATGTATCGCGTCAGTAGTCGATATGCCGTTGGCCACAAAATTACCAGTGTTAGGTGCATCGGCAGCAACCTTATGCGCATCGTAATCAATCATCAATAGTTCTGAAGCAATTGCATCCGTAGACACTCCCCCACCAAGCTTGGAAACAGGGTGCTCTGAAGCTGAGAGAGCAAGCAGCACCGGACGCGAGGATGCCTCGCGTTGTTCACGAAAAAGAACGTCAGTCCGTTATACGCGTGTAGAGCATTTTTGATTGCAAACTCTGCAAGTGGAAGAACGAAGTCCATGACGAGAATGATGCTGCAAATCTGCGCAGGACGTCTTCGAGCACTCTGCTCACGCGCTCCCTTTGCTCATCCGACTCTGGATGGACCGCCGTAGGCATAAGAAACCGCGTGCCTAATAGCTGAAATAATTCGGCTTAACAAGCCGAAGCGAAACGTGGGTCACGGTCCAAAACAATAGATTATGGCAGGCTGCGATGACTGAAGATAAGATCAATGGAGATCTTCGCTGTCGTCTCCGCCATAATGTGGGCGGAGACTAGAGCAAAATGCACCGTTTTGCTGAATCGATCCACTAGAACCAATACGCACGTGCGTTTCTGTTCATCCGGTGGAAGGCCAAAGATAAAATTCATGCTGACTGAGCGCCAGGCTTCCGTAGCAATCGGAAGCGGACGCAATGGGGCTTGTGAAGACGGCGCGGGCTTCACACGCTGACAGGTTGCACAGAAGCGCATCAATTTCTGGATGTATTTATACATTCGCGGCCAAAAAATACGCGAGGAATAGCCGCAAACGTCTTTTTTGCGACCCAGGTACCCACCAGCTAGACTGTCGTACTCATTCGGGATCGAAGGTCGTTTTCAGCAGGGATGAAGACACGCTGTAAATTAAAGACGTTCATCGTGTACGCCAGCAACGGACCGTAAAGAGCGTAACGCTTGATGTTGTCGCGTGTTGATTTCGTCAACTTTGCGAGTGAAAGTTTTTTTCGATCCCTGAGTCAATAGATGATCACCCGCATAAAAGGAATCATTCGCGTAGGTTTCAGCGATCTGAGTTTGGATCGACAGCACGGGGTTCGAGATCATCGCATTAAGCCTCAACTCAATACAAAACGCACAGATATCTTCGTCGTCATCAACATTCTCTGTTTGATGACCTATGTCGCGCCGAGAAACGTAATCAGGACAACGAGAAAGCGCGTCAGCGAGAATGTTTTTCTTGCCAGGCTTGTAATGCACCACAAAATTATACTCGGCGAGGAATGACAACCATCGTATCATACAATGGGACAAGTGAGGGCTCTTGACGGCGGTACGCAATGATGCGTGATCTGTGTAGATAGAAAACATATTTCGCCGAGCAAATATACTATTAACTTGATTAGCGCGTAAAGCATAGCCAAAAGTTCCTTGTTGTGTACCGGATAATTTTTCCTGGCAGGTTTCATCTGTCGTGATTGAAAACTCACGACGCGCTCTCGACCCTCGTCACCAAATTGCATGAGGGCACATCCTATAGCGAAATTGCTCGCGTCAC